CCCACCGAGACTGTTATCGTCCGGGCACGGGTAGGCGCACTCTGTGTGTGTGACTGATCACATCCCAGCATGTCTGGCTGGCGTGTCGCCTGAGCCTCGCCTCGCCCCGTTGACGACGCTGCTCATGGAAGCGCACTGGCTGCTTATGCTACTACTGCCTTGCCCAGCAACAATACGAACGTCCGGCGTCATGTTCTGCAGCATAACCTGATGAGGCCGGTTGGTTTCCGACACCTGCGAGATCCGTCCCTGTTCCTGTCGTGTCCTTCTCTTTACAAATGCATGGAACATCCCCTCCCTCTGATCAAGGGCCCCTCGCCTTCCACCAGACTTGAGAGTGTGCACCAGCTCGTGGTCGTCCAGGTCTTTTGATCTTTGACAATAAGCGAGGCTCACAACCAACCACAAGCTTCTCATGTCTATGCTCCATGTCGCCGACGAGCACGCTCTCGTTTGATCACGACATCACGATTCGATAGCCCTCGGCCACCATGACATTGAAAGGAGATGGAAGGTTCGAGAGGGAAGAGGCATGCGACGGCTCGACTGACAGAGCTTGGGGTAGCATCGCGGCTGATGTTCCTGCAGCGCACGAATGCATTATGAGATGCCAGAGACAATTCTTCGAAAGGACCCTGACGACTTACGACTGGGCAAGCTTCAACTGGGCGCGTTTTTACGATAATGCTGAGACGATTCCTTCGGAAGCCTGCGAAACCTTGTTCGCTGCAAAAGACAAGAGGGACGATTCTCCGCTATGGGAGCTTTACTGCTGCGACTCGTTGCTCTGCGGCGTTCAGACGAGAGAAAACCCTCGTCAAGATCGTGAGTCAGTCCTCGGGGAGTCCTGCCTTACTCTGGACCATGTGCTACGACTCCCATTCTGACATGCCTCCCAGCCAACGTCAACAGTATCATGCTTCACTGTCAAAAGTATGTTTTTTTTCACCAGACAACCGGGGCACATGGCGCTGACAACAAGTTGACAGTCGCGGACTTCCTCCTCTCCATGACCCAGGACCTCCTCCCGGAGGGTACTTGTGTCCTCTAGACTCGGTAGCCCAAGGTGAAGACGGGTTGCCGTGTCAGAGGGCCAATGCCAAATTCGGCGATGTCCTACCGGGATCTGCGGTAGACGGGGTTTCCATCACCGTCATCACCACCGAGACGAAGCCGCAGCCCTCTCTAACGACGACCTCTACAACCACAGCTGCTTCAGACGCAGTGATACTTGCCCAACCGGACACTTCGTCGAATTCCAATGAGGGACCTGGTCCATTGTCCGCGGGTTCCAGAGCCGCCATTGCCGTCTGTTGCGTGCTTTTCCTGATTGTGTTCCTCGTATCCATCCTCTGCTACCTCCGTCGCCGACGCCAACGCGATCAGGGTTACCCCCCGAGTCTTCGATATGCCGATTCCGTCAAACCCGCCGACTCGCCCACCCCTCTCATCTCACCTACAATGTCTGCCGAAGCCCGATCCAGGACGTCGCTGCCACCACTTCGACTTCGGGACCGAAGGCTGCTCCCGACCATCTTGACTCCAGACCCGGCCTCCAGCGATCACTTGGGCCACATGCCAGGGTCACCTCGAGCTCCACCTCCAACGTACAGCAGCTTCCCCCCTTCTCCATTGCGCTCGCCAGCCACGAGCAAACTCGTGCCGCGGCATGAACACACCGTCCAAACGGAAGGGCGTTCCTCTGGCACCACGCCCACCGAGACGCTCTCCTTCCGCAGCTCTGGCAGCACCCACACCGTCGGCGTCTCGGCATACTCTACAGCCACAGCCTCGTCGCCCTCACGTCCGCCGCGGCCCCACGAATTCCCGCTCGAGATCCCCGATCTTGTCAGTCCCGGCCTCGGCTGCGGTGGGCAGACTCCGCGTCCGGGCCCCCCGCCGAATCGCTCGCTTCCGCCGGCACCGCCTGTCAGTCCTTCTTCGGCAAGCTGGCCGACGCCGTCGATGAACCACGTGCACGGCGATGTCGGCGTCGCTGTCGGTGTGGTGTCGCACAGCCATGCACAGGGCGTGACGCTGCGGCCAGAGTCCCGGGAGCTCTGCGAGCTGACGGAGAGGTACGAGCGGGAATCGAGGGACAGCTGGGGGAGCTGGGGCGGTAATGGTGGCAGAGGTCCGGCAGTTGTGGCGCCCGACATGCAGGGGACGGGGGCAGGGCGCACGAGAGGCCCGGTGCTAGGGGAGGCGGATCTAGAGAGGATGGGAGGGAAGTATTCAACTGGTTAGCCGGCTGGCCTAGGACGACACGATAAACATGGTCACGACAATGACAGTTCATGCGGGAGAAGATGGCACGGATGTAGATGGGTTTGCTTGAAAGATTTCACAGTCTGCATTTCAACCGTCCAGCGACAACGCGAGAAGTAGCATTACTATTGACTTTGAGGCGAAGCTGAAGGCTGCAGTTGTGACACACTTCGGTTATGACAGTAGCATTGGTTGAGTTGTATTCGTGCCTGGAGTCATAGCCGTTGTCTGTTGGCTTCAAAGTACGTCTTTCGGCCCGTCACATCGAGCAAGTCGTGCTGAACAGGGCCATTCATAGTATTCCTAAAGACAAAGAGCGAACCACGAAACACGCACAACACTCAGGCGTGCGTCTCTAAGGCGAGCACTGAACAGGCCATTATTTGTGCAGGATCAAGTGTTATATTCTAGAACAGGAGTAATAGTCTTGACAACCCTCAACCCTCAACCCTCAAACGATTTAGTAGACTGCCATCTCCATAACATCCTACTGCCATCGGCACACAATCCGCCGTTGACCACCATGCATCGAAAACCATACATTATCACAACAGCAACAGCCACAAACATGCAACAGCCACGAAACGCTCTCCGTAGGGTCCCAAATTTCGGCGAGCCGGGTGGTCGGGCGCCCCCATGCCGGAGACCACCCAGCCACTCCGTCAAGGTGAGTCTCCCCGCCCTCGTCGGCACAGCGCACCGAACACGGTCGTCCTGCAATTCGCGACGGCGGACGAGTTCCGGAGGCACACGCGCGACGCGAGCCCCTCGCGCGGGGAATCTGCAGGAGCATCCCCCGCGACCTGGCCGAGCTGTACCCCATGCCCAGCCCGGCCAACCTGCGGGGGGGGGGGGGGGGGGGCCGCCCCTCTGGTTGGAATCTGCAGGGAGAAGAAAAAACACCGTGTCCGCCCGAAAAGGCCCTGGGCCTTGTACGGGCCTTTCCCAATTTCGAGGGGGGAAATGGGGGGCCAATGGGGGGGAGGGGGTTCCCGG